TCTTTTTAAATAAATAAAATATATAATAGTAATGATAGCTATAGAAACATTTTCGCGTGATCTATTTATTTATTTATTTTTTTAATGATGTAACTTAAACATTTAAAAAATAAATAAGAACATTCTTAGGTAAATTAGAAATATCGAAAAAAAAAATGATTCGAATATTTTTTTGGGTACATTTAAAAATATTATTAAAACAATTTCATAACAGTTATTTAGAAAATTAAAAAAAGCTTAGATAAAAAAAAATATGCAGTAGTACTTTTCAAACATATTAATTCAGTAGTCAGTGCCTAATTTTGATTTGATATAAACTCTAGCATCCAATAAATATTCTCATGTATTTCAATTCAAATCGATAATTGATTTATTAATATATGATTATTATTATATTACTAAAACCGTTTATTGGCTGTATATTTTACGGGGGTCTTGTTCATCATTCATCATCTATCATATAATAAATCACTTGTAAAATTATGAGCTTCGACCCTTAACTTACGAATGGAATTTTCACGATTTGCTACACCTTCCATGTACGTAGCTATATAATTTATAGCTTTGCATCTGAGGCGACATTGTAACGAGACTTTGAGCTTATTGTTTCAAGAACGCCCTAAATAATAGAGTTTGCTTTGTAAAATAAAAAGTATAGAACATAATTTTAACAGAAAAGGTTTTTTTCATGGATTACAAAGCGAATAGTGTCTGGAAGCAATATACTCTTTTTACTCCCTTCTGAATGAGTGACTAAAAATATTTTGAATGTGAATAAGTGAAAAAAGGAATAAGCTTTAGCAATACTTTATAAATGCTATTTAGGTAAAGGGATTTAAGATGGTATAGTAGTTATATGGAATAAAAGGGAATGGTAGAGTGTAAAAAGAATATGAAGTATAGAGTATAGTATATATATAGTATAGTAGAGTATAGTATATTAATAGGTAGTATAGCAAAATCAGTAGGGCTTATAGAGAGTGTGTTAGTATAGTATAGAATAGTATGGCTTCTTGCATGAGTATAAAATGCTTTGTCATGCCAACAAAAAAGCACTAAAGAAATAACTTATCAGATCTGATTTTTGGAATGAGGTGTTCAGACTTTACGTAGAAAAAATTATTCGCTTGAACAAGCTCATCAAACTTGAGTCAGTTTCCATTTTGGTTTATTATGAATTTTGTGTATTATGAATGATAGAATTGAATCATATGCTTAAGGTAGAATATAACGGTGGTAAATAGAAAACGAATGACATGTTGTTCCCTTGTTCCGTAATACCGTTTATGAGGTCATATTTTGGTCTTTCGTTCTTACGTTTTAAACATACTGTTATTCGACTCTTCATAAATTTTAATCTAAAATATAATAATTTTAGTCTAGAGAAAATCCGAATGCTGCAATGAAGTGCAGAAATGCTTATTCCACATAGCCCACAGTTATGCCGTTATGCATATTACGGTCTTATGCATACCTAATCATCAATTAAATGTGGGTATATTGGTTTTATGCAATGTCTAAGCCATTGCTAATGGAAATTTGGCAATATGGACCTTAGGACTCATTCAACAATTGAGCCGTAATAGCTTGATGTATACCTTAGGTTTATCTGTAAACAAACCTCCAATAATATCGTGGCTTATAATGAAAAATGCCTCCATTACATGTGAAAGTCTGCCATGAGACTAGCTAAAAAAAGAGCAACAGTTCTTCTACTGAAATTCTGAATTTTGTATTGCAAGAGTATTGGACAGTCGGCAATAGCTGATCGATATGCTTCTACTTGTTTGCGTTAGCGATTTTGCGGCCGATTGCGCAAATATTTGATGGAATATCGAAATCACTTTCACTTTTTCAACAGAACTTGTTGCAGCAGTTGCAAATTTAATGAACGCGTTCTCTACGTTCGTTAAATTAATTGTATTGTAATTGTATCTTTAAATAACCTGCGACTTATTTACTCATACACACACACACACACAGGCAGACATTTTCGTCATTACGTTTTCGGATTGGCATGAATGGTTCGCATTTCGTTAGCTTTTGTGGTCGAAGCGTATTCAAATTTCGCCTGTAATGCAACCCAATTACAACAAAGACAGAGATGGAGCATAGAAAAACGAGAGAGAGAGAGAGAGGGGGGGGGGGGAGAGAGACAAGTGGAAAGAGAGGGCTACTTAGTTATATATGAAGCTTATGAAAGCCGATTGAGCAATTTGTTGCATTCGTTCAATCAATGAGCTATCGCCAGTAGTCTTTGAAATCGACAAAGACCCTTGTTCCCTTAGTCAACCCACTAAAAATGTACAAGTTGCTAAGTAACATCTCCAAAATTGTAAGATACTGCAGATAAAGTTATTTACTGATAGAAGATACAAGAATATGTCATTTATGACTAATGGGAAAAGAATTTTACAGGCGAAAGATACAAATATCTATCAAAAGATGCATATGCTTAATATAATATCTAGTTATAGTAAAGAAGCTACAGACACATTTAAAAAGAATGCTAGATACAGATAAAATATTATCTAAATTTTTATAATAGAAAAAATACAATAGAAGACAAAGATACGTAATATCATAAATACATATACATCTACAGATAACAAAGTTGTCATAGATAAATCATAGACATTGAGATACATACGTACATATATAGGGTTGGAAACTCCTAGGCAAGCTCTTTCGCGCTCTGTATATATATATATAATCCTTCCCGTGAGTTTTCAATCTTTTTTTTAGGCAATGAAGTAATGGAGCATGATAAGCAGATGCAAATAGAGATAACTTTATAAACAGAGATTCAAGAGTTGACATTCTATATAAAAGTATCATCAGATATTATCAGTGAAGAATGAAGATAAGAATGAATATGGCCATGAAGAGTATATAGGATTGTGTGTCTATTAATATGATGATATACGCCTGTAGCATTATGCTAGAAGGAAATATTCTTTCCCATTAAATCTCACTGTGGACAAATCTTACTCTCCAACTCTGAGCACATATCATGCACGTATCAGTGTATGACACCGGCTACGCACGACATGTTCCCGTTTGTTGTGTGTGGCTTCTAAGAGTGCTAGCAAATATTGACTTGTCGCGATTGAACCGATGTTCGGCTGGAATCGTCTCGTTATAAATGCCGCATAATTGGCGCCCGATAAGACTTCGGCCTAATATACGCAAATGTCTCATACTCGCAGAATTTTTGGTCGATTTAAATCTCTGATAGCATTGTTTTGGTGTTAGTTGGGACCGCCACATACCTAGATATTAGTGCTTGGCACCAACAACACAGTTACCATGCATGCGAATACAATGGAAATATAAATGAATCACCTCTGACGCAATTGAACAGCTGAATAACCGCTGCGAGTCACCGGGCCTAAATCTAAATCAAGGATCAAAGATAAGACGACGAAACAACTGTGCGAAATACCCGATAATTCGAAATAGAAATGACCAAACTTGCCTAATTCAAAACTTACCAATTCTAATCAAACCAAGACCAAACAGTAAATCACTGATCTAGATCAATCCATATAGCGTTTGTCCACGCCTGGCGAATAACTGGCAAATGAGGCCAGGAGAATCTGATCTTTTATTTACCCTGAATCAAATATGAAGCCTGCAAAAAGCTAAATCAATATTTGGTGCTATCATTTAGCCTTTTTTATCTGCATATGTATTTATATATATACAGTATATTTTATATGATACAATATATCAACGAGTTTATATATTTATGCGAAGAGCTTTGGCCTCAAAAAAAAAAAGGAGAACTTGCGCAATCTCCAGTTCTCTCTGGCATTCTGAAGAATGAGGCCGAGTGGTAAGCTAAGGTGCTCAAAAGCAACGTGCAGCAGATACCCACTAGATTTGTACGTTCTCAAAAACTTGGAGCTGTAGCTGCTATAGATCTTGAGCTACATGGGAACATATGTACAATATATACATATATGGGAGTATGGTTACAAATATTATATAACAAACAAAGAAAAGAAAACTTATTTGAGAACATTAATATCGTGTTGTCTTTATAATTGAAAATTTTTTTAGATTTTTCCTGAATTCAATCAGAGTGTAAATGGAACTTTTCTCACAAAATCGCTATCTAACCTACTCGAAAGCTTATATCGAAACTAATTTACCTTTAGCTTCAGTAATTGCTGAGTTCCATGGGCATGGATACGACAATAAAATCGATTTTATTTGTGTTTAGAAAACATTTTTTCAATGTGATTTACTTACGATTAAGTTACAGGGTATTCGAAGAAGAGTAACTTGAAAAATAGTTGGTAAAATAAAAAATTCAATTAGAGTGTTTTTTTACGTTGAGTTACTTTAGGGTTATCTTATCGCCAGAGGGCTTTTGCTACCCTGGTAATCGCTCAGCAACAACAAAAACACTCCGACAGCCAGTCCACTTAGCTCTATTATGAAGGAGGCGGGGCTATCCATTGATAACCAAACCACCCACTCGTTTTCTTTGGATCGCTCGATCGGACAGACTTAATAATAAAAGTAAGTACCCTTCCAGTGCGCAACCAACAGCAACGATATGAGGAGCTGCTCGCACGCAAATCCCGAGTAGAAAAAAAAAAAAAAAAAAAAAAAAAAAAACGAAATATAAATAAATATATAACTTGAAAAATTAATAGAAAACTGTTAGCCTAGAAAAAAGAAGTGTTTACATTGAGTGCTAAGCAGTGTTGGCTTTTGGGTACGTAGAAAAGTCGACATCATGTTGGGCACGTTTAGTTCGGTCAAGCAATATCTCAAGTTCGATATAACGCGCGTGGTTATCGATAACATTGTGTTTAAGCTCCATTATCGCTGGACCTTTGTGTTGCTGCTGGTGGCAACCCTGCTGATAACATCTCGCCAATATATTGGCGAGCATATACAGTGTATATCCGATAATGTGGTTGCGCCCGTTATAAATACATTTTGCTTCTTTACGCCCACGTTCACGGTGGTAAGTGAGAGGGAGTGTTATACCATGCTAAATACGTACGTTCAGATAGTTTTCCTGATTGAAATTCCTTAATATGTCCCAGATTTGTATAGCTTTAGAGTTGCTGAAAAGTCAAAAGTCATCCTAGTCAAGAAATCTGTAGATATGCCGTAATCAATCAATCAATCGTTTATAATGCCTCATTTAAGTCGCACAAAATAATATTTGATATCTATTCAACTACAGCCAATCAATCAATCATTTGCTGAATTTCTGCCTCGAGTTTAAAGTCTTAGCCATATTTTGCAAAGAACTTTGCAATAAAAATGTTTACCTTTGCTACTACCTTGAGCTAAATATTTCTGCCTATCACAGAATTTGATCAATCATTTGATATTCTGTTACCTAAGCCCACTATGATCAATTGTCAATCAATCAATCAATCCATCATTCGCAAAAGTTCTGCATAAAATCTAATGCTTTGCACTGAATTTAAAGTTAAGAGCGCTATCTCAGCTATCTTTAAAAATCTTTTTCTTACTCTACCTAGAGACATGAACTCATTAAAAAAATGGAATTCTTTATAGAAAGTTTATCTCTTCAGTTTACCCATGGCATATATGCATCATTGTTTACTCGGAACTTTAGCTCAATTGAAATTGATTAACTATCATATAGATTATCTGCTTCCTGCTTTCCTTTGCCATATCTTATATTGATACCACACCGAATCGAGCCTAATCAATAATCCTTTCCTTTTGACAGGTGCGTCACTTAAACAATACAGCTCTGGATTCTGGCTCCGTTTTTCAGCCCGGCATTGGACCCTACAATCGCAACGAAGACAAGATCAAGCGCCACGCCTACTATCAATGGGTCCCGTTTGTGCTATTTGGGCAGGCTCTTTGCTTTTACGCCCCGCACGCGATCTGGAAGTACTGGGAGGGTGGGCGCATCAAGGCCTTGGTCTATGGACTGCGTATGGTCGGTTTGACCAAATATCTGAATAACGACAGCCTGCGCATCGGCAAGCTGAATATACCCTCGATGGCCGAGGTAGAGGATCGTGTGATCAACATACGACGCACGATGATCGATCGGATGCGCTTGAATCAATCGTGGGGCGCACATCTCGTCACTGCTGAAATGCTAAACTTGTTGAATCTGTGCTGTCAGATCTATTTGACCCATCGATTCTTGGGTCGTCAGTTCCTCACGTTAGGCATTAAGGTGCTACGCGAGCGTTGGGTCGATAAAATGGACGCGCTCGATATTGTCTTTCCCAAGGTCACCAAGTGCACTTTCTTCAAATATGGCGCGGCTGGCTCACTCCAGGAGCACGACACGCTCTGCGTGATGGCCCTCAACATCATGAACGAGAAGATCTATACTATACTCTGGTTCTGGTATGCCTTTCTATTCACAATCACCGTGCTGGGTCTTATCTGGCGACTCCTGACGCTCTTCTTCTACAAGAAGTAAGTTGAAAAAGTTATTTTTTTACATTCTGCTGATTCCTGGATATTTTAGTCCTTCTGCCAGTTTTTGCTCGACAGACTCTAGGAAAAATCAGCTTTCGAAGCTCCTAAAAATATTATTTTTGAAAAATACTTACATATATCATACACAAACTTTTCCGAGTGTTTATATGAGGTTCAATGAGTGCCACCACCAAAATATATATTATTATATATTATTACTGAGTCTAAGAATCAGAAGGGTACATGGTCTAAGGGTAGAACGTGGTATAAATCGAAAAATCTAGGAGTCAAATGGCTTAAGAGTGTAAGAGCCTTAGGCTCAAAGGGTCTAGCATTCATTCCAGCATTCTTACCAAATCAGACTTTAAGTCGTAGACCGCAATTTTCATTTGCCAACCATAAAAACTTCATCATGAACTAGTTCAAAATAGATTAAAAAAATTCCTTACCTTTTCCAGTGTCACCTTCACCCGACTATCGCTGTATTGGGCCAAGCCAGGCAAACTGGATGGATCTGATCTGAAAGCTGTTATCGAGAAGTGTAACTTCTCGAACTGGATGTTTCTGTTCTTCCTGCGCACCAACCTATCGGAGTTTCTGTTCGAGAAGGTCGTCTACCATTTGGCCAGCGAGTTTCCCAACAGTCCCATACACGACAACGATATCAACGATTATAAGGCCCGCGAGCGCGAGGCAGCCGGTGGCAGTTCCGGCAAATATCCTCCATTGGAGAGACTGGACACGGTGGATGCGCCCCTGCTGCATCATCGGGCGGCAGTTGGAGCCGGTACAGCGCCATTGCAAACGCCAATAGATGGCGCCACACTGCCAGTTTGATAGCTGCCCGTGCGTTGTACCTTCATTATATCTTAAGTAATTAATTATAATTGTCATTACAATTTATTTTGTTATGGATGAGTTGTTGTTTTTTTTTTAATATTTGTATATATATAAATTTTGATACGATACTTTAGGGTTCTTGTTCTGCGTCTTACTGGCCTTGGTTTTGGAACTGGTTCCGGACTGAAATTTCAATATGCAAATTCCCAAAAAATGTGAACAGATTTAGAAATGGGTAAAAGCTTTTAAAACCTGTCCAGGCCCTGGCCACCCCATCCAACTGGCTGCTGAGCTGCGGGGGCGTGGCAGTTGCTGAAACAGTTAAACAGCGCCCACCTTCCATTTGACTGTCAGCCGTCGAGCCGTTGTCTCTGACTTTATCTTGACTTTGGATTTGACACTGGTCGTCGAGCCACTCTTGACTGCGGTCTGGCGTGACCCACTTTCGGATTGACACGCAACGCCGCGGGCGTGGCCGAATGTGGCCAACAGCTGTGGTTTTTCATTCACAGCTCAAAGATCTAGCGTTCGACCATATCTCATGTCCACAAATTGGAACAGGGTATTCCATGGCAGCTCAACATTTAAATGGTCACGTTCACAGAAACAAAGCAAATTCGAAAGCTTCGCTTACAGTTCATTTGTGCATACATTGACTTGTATATGGAGGCGAAAAAAAAATCTAATTATTTTCCCATATCAATTACTTACGTTGAAGCTGGGATGAATTTTTTGAAGCTTTCACTTTACAAGATCCTGAGATATCTGAGATATACTGCTGACTACTAAATTCAATTGAAATCTCTAGGCAAAATTGTAAAAAAAAATTTTCTTCACTTTATTTTTATTTTCAATCTCAAGCCTTGCAAATGATTCTCAGCCTGTGACAAAAGAACATATGTAAAAAATTTTTATCATAATACTACTTTCAATATGTTTTTCAAAATATTATGTTTATCACAAAATTTCGTTATCAAACTATTTTTATGAACACAGCTGCATATGTGTTACATAGCTTACGTTCAAACCATTCAAGATTACTTGAAACTAAACACCTTTGAGCTATGCATATATAAATTCCAATTGAAGTACGACAAGCACATTTTATAAAAGAGTATTGTCCAAGGAAATCCTACTCCATATTCGGGAGGAAATTGCTGAATAAATGTAAATATTTGTTTTTTAAAAGCTTCCCAATTAATAATGGTATATTGTAAAGATGAGGCTCGAGAAATTTCTAGGTCTCCCCAGGATCTCTTTATAGAAATTTTGTAAAGATTTAGAACCGAGGAATTAGAGGAATGCCTCGGTCGGGGCCAGAAAACTTCAGCAAAAAACTACAAAGCATGAGACTGCAGTATGAGACTCTAAGAGGAGACATTAAGAGACTGTAGCAGGACACAGTAGTAAGAGACTGTAATAGGAGGCTACCCGCGTCGGCCTGTGCCGACTCTACTGGAGAAACGCCACCGAATTGGACCACCCGCCTAATCCAAAGCCTATAACCAAAATATTAAATAGCCACCGATTTATTCTCTTTCATGGATTTGCGTTTATTTCAGTAATATATTCCAAATTTCCAGTCTATTTAATTTTAATTGCAATTGAATGAGTATTGTGCAGTCGGTAGTAACCCACTTCAATGTTCTTCCTTGCTTTTAGTAAATCTTTAAGCTGAATCTTATTTCAAATATTTTTCCATTTAAAAGAGACTACCATGCCAGATGTAACCACGATAGATAGAGTTTTGCACTCATGAGCGCTTTTATATCATTAACCACCATCAAGCCCTACTAGCTTATCCGCTTCACATTTTCCCAAGCTGAAAAACAACATGAAAACGTTTACAAAAATGTTCATTTTGGCCATCTGAACAGCAATCCTGACTTACAAGCTCCATACTCGAATGCTGTGCTTATTTGGTCGACGATGTCAATTTGTAGCTGTGGCAAAGACGTGGCAAATAATATTCGATTGCCTTATTGGTGGACATGTCGGTTAGTTATGACACCTGCTCAACCTGAGCTGTTGCCAATTAGTTGATATTTTACTTCGTTTCTAATTCTAATTCTTTTTTTTTTTGCCTTTTATTTATTTGTATTTATATATATTATTTTGTCATTTTGGTTTTTTTTTTTAGTATTTGCCTTATTGGTGGACATGTCGGTTAGTTATGACACCTGCTCAACCTGAGCTGTTGCCAATTAGTTGATATTTTACTTCGTTTCTAATTCTAATTCTTTTTTTTTTTGCCTTT